AAGCTACAATAGTAGGAACAGGAGCGGACACACCACACCTACATTGGGGGATCGGCGTGTGCCTTACCAGTTCTATTGCCTCATGTTAATAGAGTTGTGAGGCAGACGGACGTTGACACATACAATTCTTTGACTAGAAAACCAAATCCAGGTCAATTCAGCAATAACAATTATGAGGGAATGACTGACCTCGGACAATAAAATTTGTTAGAACCGCGATGAAAAGGAAAAGGCAGATGACCACTGGACCCAGGATTTGATCTGCACAAAATGGTCATCATACAAGGATTACATTGGTGAATCGAGTTACCGAAGTGACCTATAAAATTGCGATATTCAGATATCTAGCTACGAAGCTCTCTCTATAAGTAGATATTCGCACCGGAATAGCGCTGCTTGATCATTGTGATTCTCTGCTGATAAACGATATAACCGTACACCTCAGGGCTGGTCAGCCGTGCCGTCTACCCACTGAAAATGCGGAGGTACCAGAATGCCAACGCTTATCACAGCATATGCATATGCAAAATTCCGAGCAATACGATCTCTTGAGCCATTGAACAATGCCAATGAAAATGTGCCGAGGAGAATGGCGACATTCAAATATGAAATCCAAGCTGCGGCGCAGATTTAGCAGACGATTTCCGTATCATAATAAAGACTATACTTCTCTCGTTGGCAAACCATACCTTAAAAAATCTGGTTCAACTTCTATACTTCAGATATCTAAGTTGTCACCACACCTTTCCCTCAACCCGAATCGGGGTTGCAATCTTCTTTGGGACCCTAACCCGTGGAGGAACAGGGTTTATCGAATGATAGTCCCGTACAGTAGGCCTCTGGCCTTCATCATCCTGCTCTGTCTCTGGTATTCGGTCTGCACGGGTAGAACGTTGCCGAAGACCTTCTGGATTCCTTGGGAGGTTTCCAGTTGGTAAACTTACAGCGTCGATAGCTGAACTTGGCGCGAAGATTTCCGCCATCATGTGCCATGAGCGACGAATGAGAGATGTCGAGCCAGACGTCGCCTGGCCACGTCGCTCATATTCATCGCGAAGATATTCAGAGGTCATGTCAACTCGGAAATGGAATATGTAATTTGTTGGTGGTGACGTCACCGATCGTGCGCCTCCACGCATCTTCCGGGCTCTTCTAGGAGCCTCCACGGACTATGTTTTATACTGCCATGTTTTACACTGCTATTTGCCCACGCCTCTACCTCGTTGATCTGCAACCTTTCCTCGACATCCACGAGCTCTAACAATGGGAAAAGATTATTACTCTATACTGGGTATCCCCAAAGATGCAGACGACAATGCAATCAAGAAGGCATACAAAAAAATGGTAATTCGTTTTTCCCTCACCTGTAGAGATGTTTTTGATTTTTGACCGATCTGTAGGCCATGAAATGGCACCCAGATCGCAATGCTGGAAAGACGGAGGAGGCTAGCAGGATGTTTAAGGAGGTACGTCATGTCACGTAACCGTCAAAGGATTAATTTGCTCATGTAGGTCTGTGAGGTGTAGATATCGGAGGCATTTGAAGTCCTCAGTGACAAAAACAAACGTACAGTGTATGATCAGTTAGGCGAGGAAGGTCTTAAAGGTGGTGGAGGACCGCCACCTGGCGCCAATGCAGGGAGCTTTCCTGGTGGAACGTCGTCATTTGGGGGTTCCCTGGTGGAACCACATTCACGTTCACCAATAACGGTACCGGTGGAGGAGGCTTTTTCCCATCGGATCCCCAATCCATCTTTGAGTGAGTGATTTCACCTTTTTTTAAAACTTCCTAGGTATTAACTCAGATGCACAGGCAATTTTTCAGACAAACGGGTGGTATGGGTGGGATGGGTGGTATGGGCGGTATGAGGGGTATGGGTGGTATGGGTGGTATGAGTGGTATGGGCAGTGGCTTTGACGATGATGACGATATGGGTGGAAGAGGGTTTCCTGGTATGTTTGGAGGAATGGCAGGGGGGATCCCCGGAGGGATGCCACGGAGTCGGGGCGCGTCGTTCAGATCTACTCGACCATCCGACGCTGGGGCGCATCCGAATGGTGCCTCTGCTCCATCTGAAATTATTCGTCCTCTCAAAGTGTCTCTCGAGGAACTCTTCTCAGGCACAACCAAGCGTCTCAAAGTTGGTCGTCGTTTACTATCGGGGGAGACAGAAGAGAAAATTCTTGAGATTGAGATTCAGGCAAGTGCACGTTTGCTGATCTTCATCAGACATATGCTTACACAGTGCTGCATCGCCAGCCCGGCTGGAAAGCTGGTACAAAGATCCGCTTCCCCAAAGCCGGAAATGAACTGCCATCCGGCGAGGCGCAAGATGTGGTGTTCGTATTGGAGGAAAAGTCACATCCACGATTTACGCGAGAAGACAACGACCTCGTCACCAGACTGCAGATACCTCTCGTTGACGCTCTTACTGGCTCTGGCGGGCCCAGAATCCTTGATACACTGGATGGTCGGAAAATCCGAGTTTCGCCATCTGCTGGTATTGTCAAACCAGGAGCCGAGAGCCGGATTGTTGGGGAGGGAATGCCAATACGAAAGGCAGGAGTTGCGAAGAAGCGGGGGGACCTCATCATCAAGTGGGACGTCGTTTTCCCTGACCGACTAACGCCGAGTCAGAAGGAAGGAGTGAAAAAGGTTTTGACTTGATCTGGATATCCATAGCTTGGTCAACGTTAAATATTTATCACTGGACGATGTACTCTACAATTACTATTAGAATAAGCGCTTATGTCATTACTGCGGCGTTGGATCACGTGGTTCGATGTGTTCAGCCTTGAAGCAACGCAGAAGCAGCGTGTACAAGTACGTCCCATCGCAGGGCATCTGCCAGGCGACCGTAAGATCACGTCGATCCTATGTCAAAAAGCACCGGGACATTGTAAGGCTGTTCAAGAAACATCTGGGTGTTTTACTCTTCAAGGTAAGTATTCTTCAGTGCGGTACTGATGGCTTGTGGCCGAATCAAGGCGTGCCGCAGTCAAGAGACGCAGAAGTACAATTTCTGGCAGTGCCCCTGGCTTCGATTAGATGTGCCTCGCCTATTTCGTGCCACTTTTATACCGTCACGCATCGATCCTAGTCATTTCACTAAGTGCACCGCCTACGCTCGTCCCTCTTTTACTGCCTCCCGCGTCTGGTTATTGGTCCTTGTCCAACAAGTTCTGTCTCTAACGTTGACATTTCTGTCTTTCCCCCCGTGCCCTCTCGTTCACGACACCCGTCGTGTATATTGTTTTACTCATCACTACCACTGCTGAATGCCTGTCACTACGACCTTCAAAGACTATTATGCTATCTTGGCTATCAAAAAAACAGCGACCGAAGAGGATATCAAAGGGGCGTACAAGGCATTGGTCAGTAGCTAATCTCTTCTGGCCAGACAACCGTTCTAAAACAACCTTCCTCAGGCTCTACAATGGCATCCCGACCGCCACTCCAGACGAAAAGAAGAAGCGGGTCGAAAATTCATAGAGGCTCGTCCCAACACTTGATATGGTGACCTGGGTTTAATATATTTCATCCTCAGATTAACGAGGCGTATAAATTTTTGATGGATAAAGGTCGTCGAGAATGGTACGACAACTTCCCTGCCACTGGGGATAAGGAACGTGGTCGTCCCGACGCAGCAAGTGGCAAAGAGAAGCCTTCCGCAGGCGGAGGACTCCAAGTTCCACCCGCAGCACCTCACCGTTCCAAGTCAGTGTCTGAAATGCGCAACGCTCCTCCAGAGCAGCCAAGCCCTGATCAGGATAAATCGAGACCGCGCGCCAAGTCAACAGGTGGTGACCGAGAGGCCCAGCCTGAGGCTGAGTGCGTATCTCACTCATGTATAAACTGAACTAAACTGACGTATCGTACCTTGCAGTCTTCGAGACTTCATTCGCCGAATGTCTAAGCAGGACAAGCAAACACACAGCAAAGAGCCTTCGCTGAAGAGCCACAACGCCACCGTATACGATGCTAGCGACTCGGAGGAACCTTCGATTCAAACAGCCGGAATGCAACTCCACACTACGACCGTTGTGACTACTGGCGTGCCTTCCGAGTGGATATTCCCTCTTCCACTCACCCTGGAAGAGCTCTGCGAAGGAACTGCCCATCGCTACCGTATTACTCGCCACCTTCTCTCAGGGAAGACAAAGAACATTATGGTCGACATTGATGTTGCGCCTGGATGGAAAAAGGGTACGAAGATCCGGTTCGCGGGAGCTGGAAACGAGCGACATGGAAGTGCCCCACAGGACGTCGTATTTATCGTCGAGGAGATGCCTCACGAGAGGTTTGTGAGACAAGGCTCGGCACTGGTGGCCCGAGTGCAGATCCCACTTGTAGATGCGCTCACCGGCGAAGGGAGGTCGATCCTCGTGAGAGGATTGAACGACAAGGACGTTAAAGTCCGTATTCCACCTGCTATTATCAAGCCTGGGGATGAATATCGTATTGAGGGTGCTGGGATGCCCATACGAAAACAGGGAAAAATAGTCGGGCAGGGAGATATGGTGATCCAGTTCGTGCACGCATCAACGCAGTTGTCTTCTTTGACTCACAGACCTCGCAGGTGGGAGATATCATTCCCTGAAAAGCTTGACAAGAAACAGGCAAAGGAACTGCGCAAGGCCTTGAAAGGCTGAGTCGCAAGCACTGGGACTGTGTTCCGTTTCCTTATCCGCATAGTAACATCATTATAACCGCATAGGGTCCCCTCATTAGAAGCTGTATCACATTTGTTTTGTTTTCTCCTTTTCTTGCTCTTTTGGTCGATGTTTTCCAGAATTATGAACTCACGAAGTGATGCAGTTTCACGAAATAGGATAGATTGTATGTTAATCATCTCACTGCTGGAAGTGATTTCAATTCAAAAGTTTTGATGTGTTGGAAAGTTCGTCGTTACGTTCATCATCCGATTAATTGGATTTGTTGGCTGCAAATAATTATGGTTTTGTGTATCATATACCGAAGATACTGACATGCTTGCACGACTGGGGTGGGGTAGTGGTAACCTTAACGCTTCCCAAGCGTTAGCGCCGGGTTCGATTCCCGGTCCCAGTAGTTTGTTTTGAGCTTCCAATGTTTTTTTTCTTCCGAACTGCTAGGCCATTTGCAAGGAGCCGATTCCAAACCTTTTCAGGTTTGTAGCAGATTATCGGTTACTCTCAAGGGCACAGCCAGACGAGGCCTACTTATTATAGTACTTACTAGTAAAAGCATCGCTCATATGACGTTCTGATGACTAGAAATTCACATATCTCTTCGCAGGTGGCACCAAGAAATACGAAAGAGGTGGCAGCACAATAATTCTGGTTGGTGGGACATCCGCGAACCTCCAGACGCGACGGCATAATATTCAGAACACGGGCGTACCGTGTTCAACCGAATGATACGCGCGGTTCTGGCACCTCGGCCGCAAGCTTCACCGTCTCAGCACTACGTCTCTGCGTAGTATATATGCACGTACCCCTCCATAGGCCTCTTACATATGTCCACGCTTCGGGCTTCGGAACATCATGGCGCAGGAAATATTATTGGGTATCCATTCCTGATGTCGTCATCCGGCCTTCCTAGCGCGTCTAGCCTCACTCGCTAATCTATACCTATGCCGGTAGAGCTATGCATTCGCACAGCACACAAATGATGGCACCAGCACTTGACCCTATGCCGTAACTTGATCCATGTGCAATGTATAACTGGGAAAGGCATCCAGGTGACATGTCCTTTGATGGTGTCAAGCTGAAGGCATCTCTGGGAAAGAGCACCTTGTGCCTAGCCCGTCCAACGCCCTGGGCCGTGTATATCGACCACGTTTGCGGTCCTCCTCAATTCTTCAAGGTCGCGGCCATCCCGATCTCCGGTCTTCCATCCGAGATACGCTTCACAGAACTACTTACCGGTACCCTCTATTTCTTGATGCCTCTGTCACTCACGTAAGTTCACTGAGGCAATAAGGACATACCTTTGTCGATCAAGTTGTGAGCTACTGGCAGTAAGTAACCGGCCCATGCAGGAGCTGAAGAAATTCGGTCAATAATCGCCACAACATAGACGAATGGACCCAACGAAAGAAAGAAGCTGCTTGGAGATTTGACCAACATAATGATGGCCTCACACCAGTATTTCCCCAAGGCTCACCGATTGTCGAGCAAGTTCCTGACAAATAAAAAAAACTTACCGTGACCTCGTGGAAATAAGTACCCACCAATAGTGGGTGCTTTTACTTACCGGCGTTGGTGCATCCCAATACTTCCTACTTCAATGTTCACGTGGCATCCTAGCCGGTATAGCCGCCCGGTTTGTCATCTTCTTCAAGTCAGCAATAGCTTTGTCGCCAACGTCCATGGCCTCCAACCCAGCACAAAGGAATGTTAATGGCCATTCAGTTCAAAGCTCTTCGTCTGCAGCCACTCTCAACGACTCGTATCCCCCTACAAACGTTCTAGTCACCGGTTTGCGAAGGTGCAGCTCTAGCTATCCTCCTCATTGCACCAATGAACTGACGAGTAACAATCATTAGAAGTGGAAAGACGTCCATGCTTCAGGTTATTTTCCACCACTGCCTGCCAAAGGATACATTCTTCTTGGACCCCACGTCGAAAGTGCAGAAAATATGCACCGAGTGCGTTTTCCTGGATTATCCGGTTTCTCCACCTTATAGCGCGGCTTCCTAGCTCTGCCATCCCCTTGGAGTTCTGGGACTGCCCGGGAAATCTACCCTTGACGAGCTTACCATTACACCAGTTCTCTACACTGATGTTTGTCGTCGACATTCAGGTGCTCCCGACGTTTGCGTGAATGTGAAGCCTGCTCATCAGATGCACAGGACAATTTCAACTACTCTATCCCCCAGTTGGTTGAAACGGTTGTAGCTGCCTGTCGAGAGAATCCAGATATCAATGTGGAAGTGTTCGTGCACAAGGCGGATGTGCTGGCCGATGACTACAAGATAGGTTCGTGTTGTCTATTTCTTTGTGGTTCATCTTATGGTATGGAGCGTCTGCATACCTTCTGTTCTCCATTAGAGACGTACCGACATGTCCAACAGCGCGTTTTCGACGAACTACAGGACACGGGTCTCGAGATTGAGATGTTGCAGCTACAGTTTCATCTCACATCGATATACGACCACTCGATATACGAATCCTTCTCGCAAGTCGTCCAGCGGCTGATAGACCCCTTGCCATATCTAGAGGATCTCATGAACGTATTCTGCGCGGTTAGTCAACGTAAATCACAGGTCTTTGTCTCGACACCACTGATATATATCCGCAGAACTCGCGGCTCTCCAAAGCATTCCTGTTCGACACACACTCGCGGATATACGTTGCTACAGATGCGTCGCCAGTCGACGGCGCAACCCACAATCTCTGCTGTGATTACGTCCACTTGATCTCCCAATTCATCCCATTATATCGGTATGTCTGTGCTCCTTTCGCAAGATTTTGGGATCATCTTTTGATCGATTCATACGTAGAGACCAGGCCCAGAGCGATTCCAACGATCCCAGCCGATGGTCTAGTAGCTCCGTTCGGCTTAACCCAGACACCACCTTGGCCTACTGGCAAATCACGAGGTTAGTGTCTAGTTAACTTAATTATAGTCCAGCCACACATTTACGCCCACCTGATGGATGCATAATTAGTACCCTAGCGATGGTCGTGCTTCTCCCCTCCGAAACGTACGACAGCCGGCGAGGCCTGGTCGAGTATAATTTGGTCTTCTTCAAAGAAGGCGTGCAGGAAATTTTGCAAGTTGAAGCTGAAAGATGTCGGCAGCTGGCGGCGCCTGTATTAGCATCGTGATACGGTCTCGCTTTCATGGTCCGGATATGCTCATAGTATGATAAGCACCGCATCTAATCTTTCCTAGACCATATAATACACGGCCATACCAATAATCCCTTCATGTCCATATATAAGCACCACCGTGAGGCCTTGACTATGGAATGTACATGCTCGGCTGTGTGTAATGTAAGACGGGGCGTCGAGGTAGGTAAACGTACATGTACAGCGCACATCCGACCACACATAAATCTAGAATAACCAAAGCGAGAGATGGGGGATAAATAATACAAAAGTATACTATTTCCATGGTAAGTTGGGACCGTGTTTTGATTGATTATACATATGAGAGAGATAGTATGTGATAACGAACGAATTTTGAAGATGACCCGGGGTTCATACGAGTGCCGCATCCTGGAATAGGACATTAGTCACTTTTTTGACTGAGCTGCCCTTACAGCGTGTGTACCTTGAGATACCCCCGGAAAATAGAGTCTCGCACTGTAATAGAGGATCATAAAAACATTCTGAGGTCCCATTTGATGTAGTACATACCATTGACAATGATTTGCTGAGTAGCTTTCGTATCCTGGGCAAATAAAGAATACATGAACCATCTGTGACCTGCACAGCTCTCTCGCATGGGACTTACAACGACAGAGGTCAAATGTATATATAGTACACGCTTCGCCTCGTTGCTTCGCCGATGAACTTGCGCAAAGTGAGCCTTGAAATAATTTGTGACTTCCTCATAATCGTTCGAACGGTCCGCAAAGGAGGTAATACTGCAGACATCATCCATCACGTGCCACGTCCAATGATCGGGACACCACGTACTAGCGTTTCACCCGAATACCAGCTTCGAGCTTGGTTTTGAGGAGATCCGTTTTGTCTGAATTGCAGTCGTGTCACAGTGGCACCCTGTTTCGGCTAGGATATCACATACTTAAAAACAACACCATGTGAACTCTCTTCAGCAGAGAGGTTGAGCAGATTTGTGTGAAAAGCTGCAAGGAATCGTCTATGCGATTGGTCCTCGTATCTTCATCTAGATACTATGGTGCGAAGTGTGTCTGGTGAAAGATAGGAAGGTCATACACAGAGAACCTACCTGGTCAAATGCCGAAATGGGAGCGAGGAATATGATGGCATTCGCGTCGTCAAAGTATGGAATCCATGTATGGCGCTATAGACTTATGATAAGACGCCAAAAACTGAATACAGAGGCTTTACAGGCGTACCAGACCACGGGCTCCTCCTACGTCATACAAGAGCCACTTGACAGCCTTCGGACCTAGCGCGATCTCGAACTCATGTTCTGCGATGCCCATGGTCTGTATCCGGGCCCGCATTATATCGTCTGGGCAAGGTTATTAGAACCTGAAATGAGAAGGTCCACGGCACCTACCAGTTGACGGTAGATAGTCCACAGTTGCAATGCGGTCAATGTTATTCAGGAAGCTGACAATAGATCAGACTGGTATACTTGCGCCGGGAAGTAGGTATAACGTACAACTCCGCGCTGTCGTCCAACCGCAGGCGTCTTTTCTTGACCAATGTGCGCACGGACGGATGTTGCCAGAGCTCCTTGATGTCATCCTTCGCGCGTGCAAGTTAGTATACAGAGAGCTAATAGCGTTGGGTTCTCTAACCTTGCTGGCTTCTAGCATTCTGGCGATGGGGTCATCTGCGAGGGAGACAGGGCCAGACACGCTAGCCTTGCCAGGCATCCACGCACTGTGGCCTCGGGGGTAGCCTGCGGTAAGAGGACCTGACGCTACGCTAGACTGCCATCCCCTCCTCACAAATACACCCCCTTTGCCGCCATTCATGGCTACGCCGCCCCCGCCACTGAGGCGCGAGGCCAAGCTGGCCTCCACCCCGACCAAGGGGGACAGGCGCAGCCTCAGGTTCGCCAGCTGATGTCGCCACGGATCACCAGCGTCGGACCGGCATCCGCCACCCTCAGGCGCGGCAGCCGTCCCTTCCAGGGACTCGAGGAGAATGCGGATGGACTTGACAATGTTGAGGAAAACGACGGTTGACCAGCTGCTGCGCTCAGAATCCAAACTGGCAGGGGCGTGCATCAGCTGAAACCTATTTGAAAGGAGACATCAATCCAGGATACTTGTAAAATCGAGAGGCGCTCACTGTTTCTGTAAGGTGCTCTTGCCACTCTCAGCCTGGCCCAGCAATAGTAACTTGACTTCACCGGTGGCTTTCCGCCGTCTGATTTTTTCGCGCTCAACACGAATTTCCTCATCGATGAGGTCCGAG